TCCACTCCACATGGTCATTAACACTTTAGCTGTGTATGTCCATAGATGATGGAGTAATGTATGCATCCAATGTTTAAAACCTGATGTGCATGGTGGAAATGCATATGTCTACTTGTACTCTGCACAAAGCCAGCTACTCTGCATGCTGATTTCATTGGCTTGATTGAGACATTTGCCATACCATATTCCTGAATATAGTTGAAGCCCAATTTCCCTTGTTTCTATCTTGCCTTTGATCTCAAACTCATCCTGTCCCCCGATCTATGTCAACGTTCTATCAGCAGCACAGGTTACCAGAAATACAATCACCTCCTTTTCACTGAGTTAGCAAGAGTGCTTCAACTTTCTTAAGACTACTGCACTGCCAGAGGGGAACTTCAAAAGATTTTCTTACCCACCTGCGTTTACAATATCATCTGTTTCAAAGGTCTCTGCCTTAAAGGGGAGAGCTTAATCAGTATGGCTCAGGTCTTCTGGCCTTTTGACTGCTTGACTGACCTGTTTCCATGGATATCTGTTACTTAAAGTCCTAGAGCTCAGACACAGAGATAATTTCTCCGAATAATAAAAGTAAATGTTTAGGTTGTATGTAACCCAAGTATAATATACCCTCTATTACAAATTTTTCTGTCCAAAGGCCATATTCAAATTGTCCCCCAAGAAGCATTTATTATGATATACTAAAGTAAGTTCAGACACTAATTTGGGTTATGGTAGAGAACCTGGTGTATTTCAGGTGTTTAGAGGTATAACCTCTCAGAATTTTTATTTCATCATCCTGAGTGACATTAAAGGGACTTGTTCTTCAAAATATCTAGTGAGTCCTGGATTGTCTATCCCTTATCTAGGCTATTCAGTCTAGAACTGGAGGATCTATGGACCTCTAAAAATATCATCATCCTCTTAGAACTGCAGAGCTGGAAGAGACTCTATGGATCATAGTGTCTAGCCCCTGTCAAGGAGGCAAAGTGGGGAATTAAACTCCCAACCTCTTATTCCACAGCCAAATACCTAAACCACTGAGCTATTATCATTGACTTCAAGTGTCCCTCAGGTGCAATCAAAGTGATCAGAACTGAGGGGAGCTACTGTTCGCATTGACTTCAAGTTTCCCTCAGGTGCAATCAAAGTGATCAGTGATCAGAACTGAGGGGAGCTACTGTTCACAGGTTCCCCACTGATTTGATAATTAGGTATAAACCATAGCAAGTTTTAAGTGCACATGCTCCATTTCCTCTCTTCCTTTGTATGTGAGAGGAGCACAAATGCAGAGCAATCTTCAGTTCTATGGTCTATAGAAACTTAAATAAATGTGGTTTGTTAAGTAAGTTTAATAATCAGAAACTTAAACCATTGTTTAACATGGCTTGTTTCTACGGTTAGCAAAATCAAAGTTCCCCAGACTCCAATGTATGGTGGAATTATGGTCTGCTCTAAAATGAAAGAAGAAGAAACTTGCAAAATCTGTTCTGATTAAATACCTCTTGTTACTAGAAGATGCACAACATTCTGCATTCAAGATGCATTACAATCAACTCCTCTTGTGCACAGTGGATCGAAAGAAAGGAAGGGGCACTAAGTTAATCTTTAGTTTGTTTATGATTCCTTAAAGCAAGTATGATGAACCACTAGGATTCAAAGGCCTGCAAGAGGGAAATGCCACCAAGGGCCCTTCTCAGTTGGATTCTATGGTAGTCAGTAGTACCCATATCTAGGCCACTCACAGGCTATCACTAGCCTACTAGCTGGGCCAAAGGGGAGGACAAGACATGCCTGTGAGAAGGTGCTAAGAGGAAATGAAATGGAAGAAGAAATAGGGTGGGTCATAAAGAGCTGGAAGAAAGGTGACAGAAATGAATTTCTATCCAAAACCCCTGAGAGTTATAAATCCACACTGAGGACTAACCACAGGCACAGGAGTTTAACAGAAGGAGTAGTGTCTCGTGACAAGTGGTCTGTGTCCTAAATAATAATAATAATTTAAAAAGAAGTAGAAGCAATGAAAAAGACAAGCCACACCTAACCACTACAGGTGAAGGATGCAGCATTATAGGAAAAGGAAGGACAAGGTGCTCCCTCCCTTAGTGAAAGACTTGGAACATTGACCTGCCCGTGTCCAGTAAAGTCACTGACAAGAGATGTATAAATCAAAGAACTTATCCTGGTGTTGGTCCCTTTATGAAAATTATCAGGGAAAATAGGTTTAATGTTTAATATGACACTGTCAGAAGATAGTGTTGTTTCATAGATTAAGGAGTCAGCACTAGGAATAGCACTAGGAAAATTACTCCCCAGCTTTGTCCTATGGGTTCCGTATACTAAGTCTGTCCTCTTTCTCAGATTGCTACATCACTGTTATACTGTGTTCGGTGACCGAGCTTATTGGTGGTGCAATCATTTTGGTCCATGCTTATAAAAGGAAGTGCCCTATATTAAAACAGCACTGTAAACGGTTTAGTGAATCACTCAGTGCCACACTGCTAGCACTGTACCTAATATGAGTAGAACACAAAATTGAAATATACTTTGCCATACATGGTGCAATTAAAATTCCATTCATATTTCTGTATCTACTTCTCAAAGTCAGAGCAACCATAAATTAATTAATATCATATAATCATTTATTTCTGTGATCACAGGTTAATGCAACATGTTATTGGCCTTTTTAACTGCAAGCTTTGATAGCGTATTTAATAAGAGCCATGCTTTGGTTGGAATAATCACTAGGGAATCTCAATACAGTATATCTGATATTTTAAATTGGATTAAATGGGTTGATTAGTGAAGCAAGTTCCTACTTTAGAAGATAAGTCAAAGTTTCTTTAAGTATTTTGAAGAGGCATGTACACTGTCTTTGAATAAATGTGGAAAGATGAACTCAATCAGGGGTATTTGATTGTTTCTAAGGTAACTGTGGGGCAGAGCAAAGAGCCCCACTGATCCATTGTGTTAAATCTGGCATTCACACATTGACTGAAATCTTGTTGCTTAGCAGAGTGAGCACCATTAGAGTAGGCCAATAGAATCAGTGGAGATTTCTCCTCCATGAGATCCTGTTCAAATGGGCCTACTCTACTTGCAATTTTCTAAATTGTAAATTTGAACCAATGTTGCTTAGGGAAAAGTTGGTTCACCAAATTTCCAGTAATTCAGTGGACCTATTCTAGTGTGACTTATTACGCTGATCAGCAGGATTCCAGCCACAGTGATTGGAAAGGGAGAAAGAAAACTGTGCCTGTTGCCCTTATAAAGCCTCTCACACACTCCCTTTCCAGTGGCTGCTTCAGAAACTTTCTCCTGGCAACTGGAACAAAGAAGAAGAACAACTGGAGCACCCAGCTCAGAAGACTGCCACTGGTGCTTTTCTGTCTTGACTGCACTATTGAATTTTTGACTTACCTTTCCCCTTTGCATCTCTCCACTCACATGAATGAGATCTTCACAGAGAAGCAGGAATCCACCAATAGTACTACACATGTGGACAAAGACTGGGCTGGAGTGCTGTCAAATTGGCATAGGGAAGGTTGTCCGTGAATCTTTATTCGATCACAGAGGTCAGAGGGCTCTGCATATCCCTAATTTTGAGCAACTATTAAATTTGAGGGACGTGGTGGCACTGTCTGAATCTTTATTCGATCACAGAGGAGGTCAGAGGGCTCTGCATATCCCTAATTTTGAGCAACTATTAAATTTGATTGGTAGGTTGCTGGGAAATACAAGCAGGTTTCAATTTTGTCAATGTACATTTCCATGCAACATTTTGGCAGTCTCAGTTCCTATAACAGCAAACACTTTTTAAAAACTAAAATATGCATTAGCATATTTGGAAATTTAGAAAATTGATTGATAGCCTAGAAACAGAGCTATGAGGAAATGGGAGCAGCGTCAAATTAAATTACACTATGTTTTAGGAATGCAGAAAAAAGAAGTGTGTTTTTCACTATAAAAGACTGAGTATTTCAGATGGAATAATTAAAGAAGTGATTGGTCACTCAGTCTGCAATCCTCAAGCCAGCCAAAAGACATGGTGGTGAAGTCTCCTGTGAAGACAAACAGCACTTACACCCCTAGAGATGCTGGAAGTAAAACAACATGGAACCACGGTTACACAAATGACTATATACCTCCAGGAGAACAACTGAGATAAAGACAGGCAGTTAGGGTTTCCTGGTGTGTCCTGTTTGTATTGTCTGTTCTGCTGTGTCCTCAATGAGACTGTGCTCTCAGGCCTGACTTCACCTTCTCTCACATACATCTTCCATTTTCTTTCTTTCTTTTTTTTTCTTTCTTTCTTGTAAAGCCACTTCACTTCCTCTCACATACTTCTTCCATTTTCTTTCTTTCTTTCTTTCTTTCTTTTGGTGATGGCTATATCCATCTCAATTATTATTGGAACATAGTTTTGTATACGTTTTTTTTCTCTTCACCAAATATGGTATTATGCTGATAATTCTAAGAATCAGTTTCTATGCATGCCTATAAGTACACAATCCAGTATTCTGGCAGAAAGGTTTGTTTGTTTGTTTGTTTGTTTGTTTGTTTGTTTGTTTAATACCCCGCAAATCTAGTTGAACGGCCACTATAGGCACTGGCATAGATGCATCACCAGTTACCGTAGAGTGTCAGGGAAGACTTGTGACATCCTTGGATCTTTTGGTAACACACTGCCTTCTCCTGGTACCCCTAAACTACAATCGCGCTTTTCAGATGTTGGGTAGATAAATGTTTCATAAATACCATTGATAAACCTCTGCTGCTATCCATGGAGAATTTAAGCACATGAAATTCATGAGAGTTTAAAGTGTTTACCTTTGGTTTGGTTGGTTCCCATAATATTGACTTGAGATTGGGCTTGATTTTGACCATATGATTATAGCTTCTTAGCTCCTTCATGGACATCAGGAAACAAATTTGTATCTATACAGTACTGTCCATATTTAATTCCTTTCTTTCAATTCATCCCAGATACTGAAAGGAATCTAAAAAATGTGAAATGTCCTTGCAAGAATTGTTTATTAAAAATGTATATACCACCATTTTTTCCTGAGTAAATACAAAGCAACATACAGCATTAAAAACATGACACAATATATGATTATACACATATATTCATTATAAAACTGTCAAAGAATAAATAAATCAAAGATCACAACACATAAATCATGGATGAGCAGAACTAAAATGATGAAGTCAGGAGAACAATGCTGGATCAAGTAATTCTAGAAAGCTTTTATTATTTGATATGGTGGAAAAAAAACTTCCTGCACCTCAACAATTGTACACCAATTTCCATCTCTGCAGAAATAAAAGAAATAAAATACAATGTCTACAACTATAATTTGAAAAACATGTATTTGTATACCAAGCGTTTATCCTTGAAATAGATATGCACCTGAACGGATTTTTTAAAAAGTAGAGGATAAATGAAAATCCAACTAATACTCCTCAGCCCTTCATTTACCTTTAGCTGCCTGAGGGTTGTTGTTTTCACAATATATTTGCAGTAGTTTGGATATATGCAAAGACCTTTCTTTACATGGTCCATTCTAAAGCTAAGTTTATATATCAAATAAGCATTATCCAATTCTTCAGGTGATCGGTAATCTACTTTGTATTTAGCTAAAGTGATTTGGATCCAGACTAAGCTGGTCACTGTTTGGTCCCTTTTCAATCAATTTACCTGAGCCATGAACAGAAACTAAGCAAAATTAATGTAGAGTGGATCCAACCCTACATTCAGACAGACCACTTTTACTGAAGCCTTTAGGCATACCCAAATTCACATTGGAGCACTCAAACAGCAGCAGTATTTGCAATGTTGCTAAACATGTGTGAGAAGAGTGCTTAAATGATCATTATAAGACCAAGTTTCATTTCTGTCTCTTCACTCACAAAGATGTCCTATTTTCAGAATTAGAATTAAATGTTTTAATTTAACGAGCACTGCATCCAGGGTCCAAAAACAGAATCAAGAGAATGGACATGGGCCTATAGGAAAGATCATAGTGCACAGCTGGAGACTTAGGTCCTGTATTTGCTACAGCCATTATTCCCATTCCTGAAAAGATTAGCCTGCCTTTGCTTTGGTCTCGGGTCCATTTACGGGGTTACTGCAACCAAGATTAGTGGGCTGGCAAGCTAAAGAGGGGAGGGAGGAGTAAAACTAACAAAGAAAACACAGGGAAGTGTGAGTCCTTCCTTTATACTCTTTGTAACACTTATTGACCCTGAAAGAAAGTGGAAATAATGTTAAGTGCATATGCACACATGCATTCATATGAAGAAAAAAGGGAGTGGGTGCTTTAAATACAAACTAACACTATATGGAGTCACTTCTACCTTTCCATCACAAAGCAGAAAAGCCCTTTGGAGGGAAGTGCAATTTTGATCAGAAAAATTGCTGGTTTCCCTCTTCTCCACCTGCCCCAATGCTATCTTTTGCTTGTCACAAAGAAGATATATGTGAGAGATGGTGACTGGATGTGAGAGATGGTGACTAAAGGTGAAGGTTTGCATGTGTTTTTAAATGTGCCTGTTGAAGACTGCAGAACAGCTATCATGGCCATGAGCCAAAAAAAATGCTTTCTCCGTGCATGTCTTCTGACCCACAGAAAAACAGAATTTGAATAAAGTGGGTCTTCCTTCAGAATAAATGTCTGTAGGAATTAGCCTGCTAAATCACATATTTGAATTTGTTACAAGCATTATCTGTAAGTAACCACTCATGTCTGTTTATTTCTCTGATGAAGCATATTCTCTGCTACAGCCTATATTATATATGGTTCCTATACCCTGAACAAGCAATTAAATAATAGTAGATCTCTGTGGGTCACCCACTCAGGTGACAAGCTGTGTGCAGGTATACAGGCATGCCCTCAAACTCACACAGAAAGCAAATCTGGTCCACAGGAGGCTAATGCTGTTCTGAAGCAGATGTAGTTTGTTGACAGTTCAGCGTTACAATGCAGCAGTGATTTCAGTGCAAGTTTCCACAGGAATGGCTACCAAAGCCGGCAGGACTGTGCACCTCGATTCATTGTGCTATTATCTGCGCAGTTGAAAGCTTTCCGGAACTCCTCAAAATTACTCATAGCACCAATAACTCTGGAGTGAAGGGGGAAAAATATAAAAAAATTAAGTTAGTCACAGTTTTTTTCGGAATGTTTGAACATCTAAAGATCCTGGACTGAATCCTTTTTCTCTTGAATAATTCCTTCCCTGAAGTGAAGGCCGTATACCTGGGCATCTAAATCATCCTAATCAAATTTCAGGTACACAACAGCAGTGGTTCTGCCTACCTCGGGCAGTGGCCTTACACATTGCAGGCATGAGCCTCCCCCACCCTGCCATGATGTGTCTTAGCATAAGATGTAAACTGAAAGGCAATTATCTTAATTTAATGTTATCTGGAGAAAGCAACCACAGAATGTCTAGTAACTCTGGACAATCTTATATTCTCTCACACTGCAAAGAGAGACAGGTGTCCCAAGCTTTAGCATGAGCATCAGTGCAAAGAGCAATGCTTTATTACCTCCAAGACCAATTGCTGAACTTAGCAGTTCTGAGCCATACTGGAAAAGGAGGAATATGTCTAGCAAGTAGTGGTGCCCCTACTTTTACAGCCTGAACATGACTATAGACAGAGGCATTTTCTTGAAGGAATCAGTCCACTTTTCAACCTCTGTGTGCTGCTGCTGCTGCAGCATGCTAGGACACAGAGGCATACTTCAATATGTAAATAATTTTAAATTGCAACCATCTTGCTTTTTTGAACGACAGTCCAATTTACTGCCTGAGCTGGTTTTCTTCTAATTATCTCATGCTTAGAGCCATCTCGCTCTGTGTTTAACAATAAAAAATTATATTTTTTTATTGTTTTCAAAGTGGATATTTATGTGTAAGCCATCATTTCTCTTTGGTGGAAAAACAAAAACAGCACCTTAACATGGAGGGAGCTACCACAGCTGCTACTCAGTACCCAAAACTGCTAGATAGTTCAGTGGTTTAGGGCACCTGGCTGCAGAGCCAGAGGTTGGGAGTTCAATTCCCCACTGTGCTCCCTTTTACAGGGGCTGGACTCAATGACCCATAGGGTCCCACCCAGTTCTGCAGTTCTAAGATGATGGTTATTATGTCATCCAGATAAGAACTCTAGGGTGTCATCCCCGTATAATTCATTGTTAGATATACTTTTAGTTCACTTTGATTAGTTTGCTTCCTAAGGTAAACAACACTAATCTTGCCTATCACCTTTTGCACCATGCTATATGCATACACTTAATTATGCTTGTTACCCCTTGTCTTAACTGCCTTTGCATCAGCCATCTCATTTCACAGATGAGATGACTAGGACTGCACACAATATTCTTGATGAAGGCACACAATTGATTTGCATAATGGCATTATAATCCCCTTTGTATAATTTTTCATCCCAGCTTTTAATGCCCTCTGATACCTAGCTAGTTCGTAACTTGCAGGAACATATTAAATAGAAAGCTCAGCGGTAATTCCAAGGATTTTATCCTGATCTTTCCCCTGCATTGCCATTGTTAGAATATTATCCATATAATCATGATTTCTGAGTGCTTTCTATTTAATAGATTTGTATTAATTTACACTGTTCTTGTGCTTTTTCTGTCCCCAAAGAGCTGCCCATTTAACTCATGTGGTCTAATAGCTCTCCTGCTTTGCACCATCTCACATGTTCCCTGTTTAAAAAATTACTTTGCACTATAATTGAATTGTGTTGCTTCACTGCCAAACTCTTCCTCTGGAACAATAACATGTTTCCTGAAATTGTATTTTCTAATCCCCAAAGGTCCTATACTCCCATTTTAAGCTTTTCTTTCTTTCTTTCTTTCTTTCTTTCTTTCTTTCTTTCTTTCTTTCTTTCTTTCTTTCTTTCTTTCTTTCTTTCTTTCTTTTGTCCTCATTCTGCAGTTTTGGGGAATTGTTTCCTTAAATGAAGATAAAGTGTGGAGAAGAAGGAATCCCTAATACCTTTCTGGCAAAGGAAGCCGTCTGGTCATGTGATGCAATTATATTTCCAATATAATTCAGGCCAGTTCTACTACTATGCAGAGCAGATTTGGGGAATTGAATCCCTAATACCTTTCTGCCAAAGGAAGCAGTCTGGTCATGTGATGCAATTATATCTCCAATATGATTCAGGCCAGTTCTACTACTATGCAGAGCAATGTTGGTGGATTGTGGATGGTAGTGTCAGTTCTCCTACCCTTGATTATTCCTCCAAACCCATAAAAACGCTAATCACATCTGGTTTCAGAAGTTAAGCAAGGTAGTCCTTAGGTGGGAGACCACCTGGGAATTGCAGGGCTCTACAAGAAGGACAAGGAAAGGCTCCTCCCCAAAACTTGCAGAGCCACTATTAGTCAGAGTTGGCAATAAATATTTAGTAACATACGCTGGTTGGGCGGTTCCCAAGAACCAACAGAATAACATAAATGATTTATTTATTTGATTGTTTATTTTAACTTGCTTTCTAAGGAAATGAAACAAGTCAACAGGGGGGAAAATACACACTTGAAACACATACGAAAATCAGCATCATCCTTAACACAAGTCAAATCTCAGGGTTTTTGACAGTATGACCAGCCCCTAAGATAATGTCAAGACAGGGCTGGCATAACACTCAATCTGATCAATCAATAACGTTTCCAAGTGTATTTTTACTCCTGTGGATGATGAACCTTTATAATACCTGAACTGTGGCGGACTGTGAACTCCAGTGTATACTTGCTCTCTTGCAGCTTCTGGTCTAAAGGAATTACATCTGACCTAAAATAAACAAACAAGCCATGAATTAATTTGTGCCTGTAGTAATAACTGCAGCCCATTTTAAACCAAATTACTTATGACTCTAAACTCACAAAGAGAGTATGGCTCAATAAGAAGCTGACAGTATATACCAAGATCGGAGTCTATAGAGCCTGAGTCCTGAGCACACTCCTGTACTGCAGTGAGTCCTAGACCCTTTGTGCATGGCAGGAGAGGAAGCTGAAAACGTTCCATATATGTTGTCTCCAACACATTTTTGGTATCACCTGGCAGGACAAAGTTCCAAATAGAGTAGTCCTAGAATGAGCCGGAAATTTTAGCATGTATACATTACTGAAACAGTGATGTCTACGTTGGCTGAGGCATGTCATGAGAATGGCTAATGGTCTGATACCAAAAGATCTCCTGTATGGAGAATTAGTGCAGGGAAATCGCCCCAGAGGGAGACCACAGCTGCAATACAAGCATATCTGCAACTGGGATCTGAAGGCCTTAGGAATGGACCTCAACAGATGGGAAACCTTGACATCAGAGCATTCAGCCTGGAGGCAAGCGGTGCATCACATTCTGTCCCAATTTGAAGACCCCTGTCCAGCAGGCTGAGGCAAAGAGGCAGTCCCAAAAGCAGCAAAATCAGGGATCTGGACAGGGGACAGATTGTATTTCTCTTCATTGTGGAAGGGATTCTCAAATTGGCCTTCTCGGCCACACGAGATGCTGTTCCAAGTCCTCCATACAGAGCACGTTACCATAGTCTCTTGAGGTTGAAGGATGCCTAAACTAACTAAACTTATGACTACAGCTTTATGACTAAAGATGGATGTCATGTCAGGGAATCCATCTATGTCATTAAGCAACATCCTATGTCAAGAGTCCTGATATATATTATAGGCTTTTTAATTGTTTGTTGTTGTTTAGTCATTAGGTCATGTTCGACTCTTCGTGACCCCATGGACCAGAGCACGCCAGGCCCTCATATCTTCCACTACCTCCCAGAGTTGGGTCAAATTCATGTTGGTCGTTTCGATGACACCATCTCGTCCTCTGTCATCCCTTCTCCTCTTGCCTTCACACTTTCCCAACATCAGGGGCTTTTCCAGGGAGTCTTCTCTTCTCATGAGATGGCCAAAGTATTGGAGCCTCAGCTTCAGGATCTGTCCTTCCAGTGAGCACTCAGGGTTGATATTATAGGCTTACAATATGCATATCTAAAAAAGCTGGAAAGGGCTAACACCCAAAACATGACAAAATTACTGCTTGCACCCCTGGGGGGGGGAACCTAAACCATTTCTTTAAAGATGGAGTTGTGCGGGCACCCTGAGAATGGGGTTAGGTGCTGGTAACAGCAGTTTCCTAGGGCCACATACAGGGAGACACTAGAACAGGTTAATGAAATAATACCAGAACAAACTTTATATCAGGAATGTGCATATTGTAGCCATGGGGCAGGATAGTCTCAAAAAGGTGTTTCTGTGGCCCTACATCCCATTTGTTTGTGTGTGTGTTTGTTTGTTTGTTTGTATATACGTATGCTGCTTTTCTCCCCAAAAGGACCCTTTGTTTTCTGGAAGAGAAAGGTACCTTGATATTCTTAGAAACCTGTAGGACTAGAAATTCATGTTTTTAAAAGCTCACAGGGGCTTCCTGTATCATTTAGCACCTGCCTAAATACTCGTTTTTTAAAACTAGAAGTAGTTTTAAACTTCTAGTTTTATTTCTGTGTGCATGTGGCTTTTGGCATTTGGAGAAGTCTGTGTCACACATACAAACACAAGAGGATGCCAGAGACAAAAAATATGGCCCTGCTCACATTGTCACTCCCTTTCAGCCTTTTCTTTGCACAATGACCCTGCTAAGGGAGTTTTCTTCCTTAAGTTTTCATGTCCTCCTCCTAAGGGTTGGAAAGCAGAGGTTGATCTGGCCTCACACAAAAGAAGCAGGATGAGAAAATGGAAACAGACAGAAGAAAAGAGAGGAGACTGAAAGTAACTCACCACCCACACACCCTAGAAAATATGTACGCTGAAGATGAGCTTCGAGTTAATGAAGTTCTTTTTGTAATCAAGCACAATTGTCTATTCACCACCTAAACATGCATATCCATTCTGAAAGGCCATTTGGTGCTACTCACATGAGCGTAACTCAGAAAGAACAGCTGATTGTGGGTGAAGTCAATGCCTGGTAAGAGGGCCTCTTCCTCTCCTTGTCTCTTCTCTTTGATCCACTTCCTATAGGCCTGATGAGAGGCACAATAAGCACATTTAAGTAAGTGAGGATATCATCAGCTTTTCTTACCACAACTTTGTGTTTCAGTTTAGAGGGATCTGGAGCATGTATGAAAGAAAGGGTGCTTAGAAGCACAATAATTGTTTACCCTAAATGCCTCTCGCAAACCTCCATTATCTGCAATGTTTTCTGCCAAAGTCCTCTTTCCTTTCACCTAATTAAGGAAACAAACAGCATTAATTAAGGCTATTTTTCCTAGGTTCCATACCAAAAGTTAGCATAACATTTTTTTTAAAAAAAAAGTAAGATCTGTAAGTGATTTTAGCCATTACTCCTTAACTTACATAGAGGGCCGCTTTCTTCCAATAATAGTTGTTGTACTGATCAATCATACACTTTGTTTTGTCTTTAAATTTCTCTTCAGAGTTTGCAGACCACCAGGAATCCAAATTTCCATACTTGTCGTATTTACGGCCTAAAATTTCAAATTTCATGAGAAAAAAAACATTTTAATCTTAAATGTATTAGCTGATAACTATCCTCCTTGAAACCTGAAATGGGTGGAGAGCAAATCTTATTAAATTACAAATAAAAGTAATAAGAAAGAAATAAGAACATTAAGACTGACAAAAAGACTTTTGTAAGCTGCCCAGAGACCTTTGAATAGAGTGGGCGGCATATAAGTTAAACAAATAAAATAAATAATAAATAATATTCTAGTGCTGTGAAACCTTTTCAGCTGAATCCTGAAGTGAATCAGATTGATCCAGTCTGATGCAGATTTCAAAGTATCTTACTCAAATGTGTGGACAGTGATGGAGGAGAATTTACTTTCCTTAAGTGAATCAGATTGATGCAGATATCAAAGCATCTTCCTCAAATGGCAAGAGAGAAATTGCTATCCCTGGCACATTCCTTTGCTATTCTTTAGCTGAGGTGGTCCTGTCATCTGGCCACTAGGTCCTGATGGCAAGCAAAGAAATGTAACCAAGAGACAGAAGGTTACTAAAAAATATATGGTATTAACAGTTTGCACGAGATAGGTGCATTATTGTTAAAAAGCTAACAGCTAAATGAAAAAAGCAAGACTAGAAAAATTTGGGGATATATTTTCACTGAAATTGGTTGAAATCCACTGATATTTGAAATGTAGCTCTAGCTAATAAGTAGCCCTCCTTCTTCAGCCTTAAAAAGATACACATAGCTAAAGCCTGACAAAAGGAGCAACAATAATAAATTCAACCTTTTCTTTACCAGACGGTATACAGATCAATGCTTTAAACAATCACTTAAGCTTCAAATAAGCATTGACGCAAGACTAGAAAAATTTGGGGATATATTTTCACTGAAATTGGTTGAAATCCCCCGATATTTGAAATGTAGCTCTGGCTAATATGTAGCCTCCTTCTTCAGCCTTAAAAAGATACACCTAACGCCTGACAAAAGGAACAACAGTAATAAATTCAACCTTTTCAACCAGACTGTATACAGATCAATGCTTTAAACAATCACTTAAGCTTCAAATAAGCATTGACTTTATTTCACATACAACTGTGTATAATGTTTATTTCAACACAGTTGTGACTGATAATGGTTCCCATGATATCACAATTACATGTTGAGATTCAATGTAATTTTCCAGTCTTAATACATAATTTCTTCTCTCTAAAGTAAAAACGCAACCTAGCGGTTCGAAAGCATGCAAATGCGAGTAGATAAATAGGGACCACCTCGGTGGGAAGGTAAACAGCGTTCCGTGTCTAAATCACACTGGCCATGTGACCACAGAAAGATTGTCTTTGGACAAACACTGGCTCTATGGCTTGAAGAGCAGGATGAGCGCCGCCCCCTAGAGTCGGACACGACTGGACAAAAATTGTCAAGGGGAACCTTTCCCTTTACCTTTACTAAAGTAAAAATGCAAACATTCTTAAGAAGTCTGGTAAGCAGCAAGGAGAGCTGAAGAAAGAACTAATGAAATACATAAGAGTTGAGACAATAGCGATGGGGTAAAATTAAAATGGGCCAGGGAATGACCCAGTTCTTTGAATTGATGTGGGGGACCACAATCCTAACCCTAACCCTTTTATGAAAATGGCTCAATCTTTTCAGAATTCAGAATTAATTTGTAATATGTTATTGCAGTGATCACCCAACCTTCTCTCCAGTTCTTTTTTCCTTTTCCAAATAAATGTCCCATGGAAAAGGAATTAAAAAGTACCAGTGGTGGGTGCTTCCTGTTGAGCTCTCCAAGATGTCATCAGTCACCCCTGCCAGTTGCCAAGGTCCTTTACAAGTAACTTTTCTTGGAAGAAAACTGATTGGGACAAAAGGTTGAGATTGTTCTTTCTGCTTTTGTTTCTGCTTTTAAAGATTCCGAGAGGAAGGTCTGCAAATACCTTTTTCTATGGACACTTGGAAAGAGTTGAAAAAAAACACCTAAATTCAAATGAAGTTGGAGGGGGGAGCATCCCATATTGCACCCGTTACTGCAATACTTGAAGGGGTGTTGTCTTTTAAGTAAATGCCATTCAGAGGCATGTTATATTGCCCCACCTAAACCTTAAAGAGCAAGAAACACATCGTTTTTAACTCATGTAACAAAAGGAACATACAACTCACTACAATATATATCAGGGGTTTGATGGCTCTTATTCTCAGTAAGTACATAAGGATCATACCAGAAAATCATTGTTATTTTTTTCTACTCAACCCCCTAAGATAATACCTCTTCTTGTTCTTTTCCTACCAAAAACTAGACATCAACATGACTATTTTAACTTTACTTACCAGTATTATCAAAGCCATGTGTAAATTCATGCCCAACAACTACTCCAATGGCACCATAGCTTAAAGACCTGTAAAAAGAAGAAGAATCTGTTTTCTTCCATAAAAAAACAGAGGAATAGAATGAAAGTCAATCTAAAATTCAAAATAAAAGACTGCAGTCAAAAAATGTTGTTTAAAAAAGCCACTGAAGAAATTCACAGGTACCTTTCAAAGCTTGAATCTTGAAATCAAGGAGTTCTTAAAAGAATATTACCTCCTTGTGCTATATATTTTATTACCAGAAAATGGAAGCTAGGTTAATGTATTCATAAAAGACATAGCAATATTGAAAGGTAGGTATAGTATAGTGACACCTCAAATACTGTTTTCTGGGCACATAAAACCCATAAATGCTTTGTACAAATGTCTGGCGTACTGAACATTGTGTACGTTTTTAATTTACAATTTCCATTGAAGTTTTTATACTAACAGACTGCATTTGAATGTTGTTCATATAAAAATTTATATCAATAACTTTCACATCTGTTCACAATGAACTTCTTAGAACCAATTACAAAAATAAGTCCAAAATGGAGAAGCCATTTATTTTGTAAAATAAATTATGACACCGTCTAATATGTCATGTGTTTTTGTTCATCTGAGGTTGTATTTACCTAATTTTCAGATCTGCTAAGGACGAGATGATTTTTATTATGTCCTGATACGTAAAACCATAGAATTCAAATAAGGTGTACTTTCTTTTTCAAAAGACTGTATAGCCAAGACTTACAAAATCTACTGGCTGAGGAATTGTTGGATTTATAGTAAAAAAAAAGAAAGTAACTTCCAAGCTCTGCATATGACACTAAAAATGACAGAATATTTGCCATCAGGACAATGGTCTCCATATGGAGAAAGTAAGATGTGCAAGATTAGTTAGATGCCAGCGTGAACACAGAAGATTTTACAAGTGCCAGTAGAAGGACCCAGGTGACTCCCATGAGGGAAAAAAAAAACTGCTATGACAGATAATAGCAATGGAGAATTGATGCAGTCAGTGAATGAAAGGTTTAAATTTGAGTTTATGATTGGACCAAGGTATTAGCAGAGTGGGGAGGGGAGGGCAAAGAGATACAGACAGAGGAAAAGAGTATAGAGACTGCCAAGAAAAACAGAAGGAACACATTCATAATTTCAATATGTACAAAGTTAAATGTTTCCTAATGATGCAAGTGGTTACAATAAATAAATAAAATACATTTTTTTATACCCTCCATCTAGCTGAGGCCACTCTGGGCAGTTTACAACATATATATAAACCCCTCAAATATAATTTAACATAACAAAGAATAGAAATAATAAAATATGAATAGGCAGTAACTCAAAGCATAAAAATACATCAAAATAAAACATTTAAAACATTTAAGATGGCAGACTTGGTCAGCTAGGCTAGTTAGACTCAGCTGAGTTTGTAGGTATGACATTATTGGATGCCTGCCTAAATAGCCAGGTTTTTAATGACCTTTTAAATATCACCAGTGAAAGGGCCAAACAAATTGCAGGGGAGAAGAGTTCATTCCACAACCGAGGAGTAACCACCAAGGCCCAGTTTCTTGTCTTCTCCTTCCAGGCCTCTCTCCAAGGTCAGCATCCTCGGCCAACCTGTTTGGGATGTTCTTGTAGGATGGGCAGATCTTATTGAAAGTACAGTAGGTGTTCTGCCAAGTAGTGAGGTTCCAAACCATTTATGGATTACTAGATTAAAACCATCACTTTGAAGCTGGCATGGAAATGAGCAGGTAACCAGTGTAAGGTGGCCAGAATTGGGGTGATGTGATGATATTTATTCATATCACTCAATAGTCTGGCCACTGTGCAGAGAGCATTGCAGAAGTGTGCAAAGAGAGTTAAAAAAGAAAAGCATCCATTGACACGATTCCTGTTGCTATTTGCAGCAATTTTGGGGGAGGGAGTGTTTTTAGGATCACATTAGGGGAAAGGAACATTGGAAGCTGCCTGCATAGAGTTAAACCACTGGTCCATCTAGTCTAGTATTCTTGAAACTGAATGGTAGCAGCTCTCTGAGATTTCAAGCAGGTATTCTTCCTTTTTCCTACCTGGAGTAACTAAAGATTTAACTTGAGAATGTCTGTATGCAAAGCAAGTGATCCACCACCAACTTTCAACCCATCCCCTAAACGAATGAAACAGTTAACCCTCTCATCTCTTTATGCTACAGTCCAGATTGGACTTCTCCAAAGCTGTTGTTGTTTTTTAATTACTGGCTAAGATTCTATTGCATAACTTATGCCTGAGGAATGATGATAATGTCACAGGCAAGGGGTCATTTTCAGTAATTAAAAACTTACTACTTCTGTCCCATGGCTTTTCTGACTCATGTGTATACAAGAACTGTGGGATGTAAGGAGGAAGTCATTACAAAAAATAGCCACCTCTTTATGACAGTACTAGCAGGGGGTGATTCTTGGTAAGTAAAGCCTTCCATGGCTCCCACAGCTTCCACACAATGAAAGGGGTTACATGAAAGTCCATAAAGCCACAGGACAGAAGTAGAAAGTTTAAAGTTATAGAAAACCTCACGCTACCAATGATGTGATCACCCTTCCACAGGCATACATTACACTATAGGATTAAAAAATAGCATGGCATCTCACACAAGTGACATATTGGCCAAAATCTCACTCAGTTTTTATGGAAGCTTAGCACAATTCACAACTCACTGGTTATAAGGTTACCTTAGATATTTGCAGTTGTATACCAAGTTGCACAAAAAGGCATGAAACAGCAAATGTCCATGCTAACTTCTTAACTTGCAGCAATTTGCCAATGAAATGTATGCTAATTGTGTTATGCTAGCAAGTAAAAGTAACAGGATTTGCCCATTTAAAATCACCTTCAGATGGCAACAGAAGAAGTTTTAATAAAATAAGGGAAGAAATAGAAGCTAACATAACAAGTTGAAAGCTTTTGGTCCTAATTATCAATGCTAATTCATAATGGAGAATAATAGATATATGTTCATTCTGGGCATGTATTTATTTAATTGTAATTATTTGGGTTATATGGTTCTTCTGAAACTGAACCAATTCAAAGCTGAGACAACATAGTGTTTCATCAGTTAATATGCAGATACTGTCTTACAACAACAGAGTGAGGTTTTCAAAGTATATTTCACTCAGTTTAATGATCCATAACATGCTAATTGCTTTCTGAGTCATTCCTAAAACCTGCAGTATGATTTAATGTCTACTCTTGCCTTTTATTTTGTTATGTCTTCCACAAAAGGTACTTTGTGTGTCATAAAATGCTTCCAGCTGATTTTTTTCCCCCCAGTGAAAAATTTCATTATAGGCATGAGGTTAAAATTACACACTTCAACAATGGAAGCATCCCATTCTGTGCCAGGTTTATTATTTTATATTGTACAGTATTTTAGAGAGATGTGACATCAGGTATAGAATACAGTCTTAAAGGCAAGTCTGTTCAACTTTTTGATCATATCACGCAATGAGCCTAGACTATAAAACAAAGCCAGATTTTGTTCCCTTTCTCTCTGACTGAGCATTATTAACACAATTGCACAACATATATTGATTGGGTTGTGTCAATGCTCTGATCACTGTGCTTTTGGCACTGAAGCTTCTGACAGGAGTTTCATTCATTCAGGAATAAAATCTTCACAAGCATTTCAAAGTATCAGAATGTTTACATACCCACCCCTTCTAGAAGGGAAGAGGAAACTTGTCAGTTTATCTAGGATTAAGATGCCAGGATGGGCCCTTAGAAGAGAAATGGGATATTTCTGAGGCAGAGACCAAGGACAGGAAAGAGATTCTGGAATGTAGGCAGGCTAAGAAGCAGAAGTAAAGTAGGTGAGCTAGAAGCTCAGTTGAAGAGGAGGTGAAGAAGGGAGCCTCAAATAAAAATGACAGGGAAGATGAGGAAGTATTGTAAGAAAGGGCTACCTGAAAAGGAAGGACTGACTTCCCTATGCTTGAATGGGTCAGACATTGTCTCTTGACTTAGGAACATAGCATGTTGGTTCATATGGAGCCAGACCACCATTCCATCTAGCTGAATGTTACTTACAGCGTGTGGCAGTAGCTACTCAGGGTTCTATATCTAAAGAACCTGCACTCCACCACAGAGGTACCACTGGTCTCCTTCTTTAACAAGCTTAATATGTTGAGAAATGAAGGAGCTTTTCAGGCAGGCAAACAGCCTCTTTGCTCTTCTCATAGTGATCGTAGTTGAGGCAAACACACCAGGAACATTGTTTCTTTTCTGCTGATACTACTGATACCCAAAGACGTCAGAACAGGCACAATATTTCTGTTAACTATCATTCTGTTGTGTGCAAAGCCTGGAATCCATTTCTAAAAGCATTAACAACCATAATTTGAAGCCAATATCATGGCTTCATATTCTGGCTCATCAATATGTTTACAGGGCAACACTTCTGGACGTTAAGGATTGGCTGGCTGTATGCCATTGTCTAGAGCAGGGGTCCCCAACCCCCGGTCCATGGCCTAGTGCCGGTCCGTGGGCTTCGCAGAACTGGGCCGTGGAAACAGATCTCCTCCCCCCCCGCATGCATGTATGGTGGCATGGCATGCTCGTGCGCATGTAGAGCTGAGCGGGCGCGTTCATGGATGCGCGTGGCACAATCGATGGGTTTTGCAGAACTGGGCCGTGAGATCTCCTCTCCCCCCCCCCACATGCATGCATGGTGGCATGGCATGCTCGTGCACATGTACAGCTGAGCGGGCACGTTCATAGACGCGTGTGGCACAATCGCAGGCGAGGGTGGTGCACTCGAGTACCTGTGTGCCCCTCACCCATGAGCATGCCCGCATGCATGTATGGTGGCATGGCATGCTCGTGCGCATGTAGAGCTGAGCGGGCGCGTTCATGGATGCGCGTGGCACAATCGCAGGTGAGGGTGGTGCACTTGAATACCTGTGTGCCCCTCACCCATGAGCATGCCACACGCATCCATTCATGCGCACCACACTCATCCGCAAACATGCCACACCCATCTGCAAATGTGCCACACCCATCCACAATCATGGGGTGCTCCTGCCCCCCCACGGACCCCACCTCCCAACCAGTCCACGGTTCCAAAAAGGTTGGGGATCACTGGTCTAGAGGATACCCGAGTGTACTCCCAATGCTTTCCCACTCTCTGGGGAGGATCCTTCCATGTAGTAAAATAATGCTATTGAAATATTCCACTTCTGGTCAAAAATAGTCTAATTAAGTTAATGTTTTATTTTGTTTTAGTTTTACTTATATTTCATATAGGTCCGTAGTTTTAAATTGTGCAACTCTCTGATACAAATAAAGAAAAGATATTCTGGCTTGCTTTGAATCATTTTACTGACTCATTGTTAGACACTGCAGTGTGGAATATTAAATGCACACTATAGTTTCTTAGAAAGAAAAAGTACTAAGCAGATTTTTATGCACACATGCCATGGGCATACAAACAGCAGAACATTCTTCTTCATACTGTAAAGTAAGAATGCTTGGAGTTTGCCCCAGCACACATTTTGAAGAGAAAATAAATCTTCATCGCCTTTTTCATGACTGAAGTGGGATTCTTCAGGTAGATCTTAGCTACAATAAAGATCAGCTCTCACAATTTGAGAATTAGGCCGCCAGGGACATTAATTTGCTTGTACACCTCTATTTAATGCCCACCAAGACAACTTGGTGGTGCTGCGGGTTAAACTGCAGAAGCCTCTGTGCTACAAGGTCAGAAGACCAGCAGTCCTAAGATCGAATCCATGCGACGGAGTGAGCTCCCATCACTTGTCTCAGCTCCTGTCAACCTAGCAGTTCGAAAGCATGTAAAAATGTGAGTAGATACTTAGGCACTACCTCAGTGGGAAGGTAACGGCATTCCATGTCTAGTCACGCTGGCCACGTGACCATGGAAATGGTCCACGGACAAATGCTGGATCTACGGCTTGGAGATGGGGATGAGCACCATGCCCTAGAGTCAGACATAACTGGACTAAACATCAAGGGGAACCCCTTTACCAAGACAACTCAGGGCTAACCCTGCCATTACTCAAAGGGAGGCAGCTGTGTCAAGAGGCAGCCTGCCAAAAACTGCAAATTTGCTGCCCCCCATCCGACAAACCCACACAACTCTGGAGGTTTGCTGTTGCTCTCTGGAGATAGCTTTCTTTCTTTCTTTCTTTCTTTCTTTCTTTCTTTCTTTCTTTCTTTCTTTCTAATTGTCTAGTTCAGAGGACCTCTCAATGGCAGAGATTTTTGATAGGCTGTCCAAAGAAATTGCCTGTATTGTTTGGAGAAATTGCCCATGCCTTGGCACAGGCAATTTTTGCAGACAACTGACAGAAAATGCCTGGCTCTGAGAGGTCTTCGAGTGCTGGCAATCAGAAAATAGCTTGCTTTGCAGTGAGAGCAATTCCTTCATGCTGCTGCCCATTCAGGTGTTTTGGAAAAGTAAATGTGAGACTAAAGAAGCAGCAACAGAGGCTGAGAAAAGAAATGGTGGCAACAGAGAAAAGTGGTAGAGAGGAGAAAAGGGTAAATAGAAGTGGCAATGAGATGGGGAGAAGCAGTGGAGATCAATGAGAAGAAGGGAAGGATGAGATGGTGGAAGTGGCATGGAGAAAGAACCACCTGGTTTTTACCCAGAAAGCACTCTCTGGTTTGGAGTCTAAGCTGTTTGGAAGACGTTGTCTCGCAGCCTCTCCAGCTCTTAAAATCTTTAGAGGAGGCCTTTCTCTTGTTTTTCTCTTCACAGTCACATCTGATGAGGATGTGAGAAGACACCTGTTCAGTGGCTGTTCCTAAGTCCCAGAATGCCCTCCTTTGGGAGGTGAGGTTGGCCGTCTCCTTCCTGCCCCTCAGATGAAGACCTTCCTTTTTTTAAGACAGCCTTTTCATGCATGAACTGGGCAATGAAGAATTTTGATTCTGGGAGGTTGCAAATTACTTTTATTGTTGTCTGTTTTACTGTGCTCTTAAGGTATTTTTAATTGTTTTAAACTAATTGATTTAATATTAATGGGCAAAATCTTGTTGGACAATGTCCACCTTTAATAACTTATTCTGTTTTATGCTGGCTTGCTTTTTAATAAGTTGTCCCTTCACCAAAAGAATGGGAGAATAAAAATGAATTCGGTATGTTGATAGGCAGGCAGAGTAGAGTAGAGATGAGTCGAGTCAAGTAGGTAGATAGGTAGAGGAAATGGCAGCAGCATGGGTGGTACAGCAATGTGCTCCCAGTTCTCTTGCTACCTCAGTTGGAGTGTCTGGGTCACCTTTGAAACTATCAAAGAACACACATGACTTCTAATGTGAAAAAATATATACAGACTTTGTTTTTAAAAAATTAGCCTAATTAACATAAGTATGGGGATTGCTTCTGCCTTTCAATTTTTAAAAAAAGTTTTCTCTTACTCTACCATTTTTAATTTTTGTTTTGGTGACTGGCTCTTGGGAGTTGCACACCTTAGTCCTCTTGTTCATGTGAGAAAGCCAGTCACTCAAGGCTTTCATTCAGCTAGAATTACGATAAGTAAGGAAGCCTTGAGAATATTTAATTCAGATCTGCTTTGAGCCTGCTTCTACTTAATACCATATTAAGATGAAAAATGAGGACAGCAACCTGTCATTATTATGAAAACTAATTAGTGGTCATTTTCAAAGCACCAGCACAGAGCAGCAACATTTCACATCGTTCTGCATTTTCAAAGAGAGAAAAAAATCCTGCCTATCTCTCCATCTTGCCAACCACCAGTGTTGCCACAGTGTACAATACTATCGATCTGCTACATCAAATTATTTTCATCATTCTTTCTTTTTTGACTTTATTTATTTATTTATTATTTAACATATTTTTTTACCCCACCTTTCTCCTCAAAAGGACTTCTCCTTTTCATACTTGTATAGTGTTTCGATTATAAGATCGTTTTACCTCGGATATTCTGTTCCCCAAAAGAATGGTTTCTGAAGTTCACCTGCTGGGAATCCTGTGGTGTTGAGGATAAATGAATAAAAATAGAGATAGAAATTAATAGAAAATTCAGTCCTACTGAATATCAATGGTAAGACATTAATAGAAAACAGGGCTTTTGTTACTTTCCATACTCAAGGTCAATAGAGTTAATCAGTTAACCAAATGTATATGAATCAGCAAAACAGTATGTCCTTGCAAATGAACCAGACATTAAGGCCAGAATGGCAAATTTCAAAGCTCATTTAATAAAAGCATTAGCTATTTTCCCTCCTAGAGTGCATGTGTACGTAAAATGGAGAGCAATTAAAAAAATAGCAGACATAATGTTCAAGTGAATGGCTGATTCAGTTGTACACAGGGGGCAAACGTGTTATTTGTGAGTTGGCTTGTGGAGTAATTCCTTTAGGTAGGTCCTGCTGTTATCTAGACTTGCTCTCTTGATGGCTGTAAAGACCCTGATACTCAGAAATGTGCTCATGTTTATGCACACGGAAGATACGTGTTCAATCTACATTTTAGAAACTTCACCGTATAAACTACACAGCAGCAGAATATTAAAACGTTGGTTTAGTAGAAAGGAGGGCCATTTATATCCTCCAAATGTTGCTTGACTACAATTACAAATAGCTTTTGGTCAGCCACAACCAATGGTGATGAGTGAGGGCAGTTAATTTATTATATGAATGAGGTGTTCAGGTATTTTCCATTGCCTGATATAGACAGGTGAAATCTAAGCCTAGAAATGACCAGAAAAGGAACGGTTGTTTACTGCATCATCAGCTTTTAACACCTTAAACATTTAAAAGTATGCTGTGGCAGATATTTTCATAGACCAGAATGTGGATAGTCAGCCTAGTAAAATGCAGACTTTCCAAGGAGAAAGGTTGGGGTGGGAAAACCTATAAACATGAATACCAAGAGCCAAATTTCACATCTTGTGAAACACATTCTGCAAAAACCACTTTTCTTTAAAGAATATGACCTATGGACTCCCATTGCCAAGCAGCTAGGAAGTAAGGCAGTAATCAAGAAGTAGGTCATTGTGCATGACGCAGGTTAGGAAGCTTTAAAAGCATACCCTGCACCAACACTGGTCCTCTTGCTCAGGGATACTGGACAACGCACCAGTCCATCCTCTAGGCCAGAGTGAATGTTTGATCGTCAGATGGGTCTGAATAGGAAGTTTAGGCTCCCTGATTGGTATATTGAGTAAATAGATCTTGGGTATTTTTTGCCCTACAGGGCACAATGGGCAAATCAGGGACAGTGTCATATTAAAAAACTGTATGTCACAATTTGGCAGGTAGTGGTGGAGGGAGTGGTAGAGGTGAGCCCCATTGGATGTTATTGGGAAATTGGTCCTCTGATTGGGTAACACAAATCATAAGATGCAAAAACACATGCAGGGAAGGCCCCCTAGGGCAGCCTTGGGTATGACCAGCCTCAAATCTTGAGACTTAGGATGGAGATGGACCTGAGAATGTCTTGTCAATACAGCTGGCTGGCGCAAACCTGGGAATGTACAGCAGGGAACTCATCACGTCTGGGCTGGAAATGGGTCTGGAGGATCCACCTGCTCCTGTACTCAGTTTTTATGCACTATCTTAGGCCCCATTGCAGGTTATGGGATTTAAACATTTTAAAAAGCTGCGGACCAAATTGAAAAACATTTCTTGTGTCTCACCTTTGATTTGGAACAACGTCCACACTACTACTTTCATTTAGAAGAAAAAAAAGCATCTGCCTGGGTTCACATTTGACCCTGTTTTTCTCATCTGGATTGAGGCCTCACACTCTCATGCTGGTTTCAGGACAGAGCCGCAGAATTAAACCAAAGTTAAATGAATTAAAATATTAATAAAACAATAAAACCAAATATTAAAATAACAAACAGAGCAGTAGGCTTTATTAAAATAGGAAGGAGCACCAAACACTGGCATGTGTTCATTTGTGTTCATTTGCTATGATATTCTAAACCTGAGATAATAATAATAAAAACATTTGCCTTAGCGATTCTGTAAGGTGAAACCTTCAGTTACTCCCACTGATTAACTCCCAGGCATGAGAATTGGACCATATGCTTCTGCTTTAAGACAATGCTGAGAGAAATCTTCCTAGGATCAAACTAGACAATACAGATAGCAGAAAAGGACATTAGTGTCCCAGAAAAGTGATTCCCATAGAGCTTTGTGCCTAAGCAACCAAACTTCAAAGCAAGGGCTTTGTATATTTTTTATGACCAGTCTCAAAACAAAACAAGCCAATTTGCAGGTGTCCGGCGGGTGAGACAGTTTGTGCAATGACAGCTAGACATTTTTAGCAGTTAAAAAATTCTCACATCTAGCAACGTTGTGGCTGTAATGTGTGATCTGACCCTTAGTGATCAGCTTTATTCAGTAAAGGGTCAGAAAAGCAAAGCAGCTGAGTTATGTACAAACGTGTAAATGAGCAAAGGAATAGTATCAGGAAGTACTAGAAGAGGTAAATTTGACAAGGTGTTACAGTAGTTAACAGAACTGTACTATTGTATTGTAACTTGGCCATGTAACATCATTTTGCGGGTACCTGCGAAAGAGTTCTTCTGTGTCATCTGAAAGTTTATTTCCAGCATTTTAAATATCAATTGGCCAAATAATAGTATTGTTTGGTTTCCACAAATAAAGGTAGTGTCATGCTCTCTCTCTCTCTCTCTCTCTCTCTCTCTCTCGTTTTTGTTTTGTTTTGTTTGCCTTTTGTTTTGCAAGATTACTACCATTGCCAAGACCCAGAAGAAAAAAAATGACTACCTTAAGAACTATGCCACAATACTAGACCACAAATGGCCCAGACAAGACACTGCCAACAAGAGTCGCTTAAAAATAGTATGGCAAACTTTCTCTTCATGGTTTGTTTGTCATGACACCTGAGCCCAGCACTCTTGCTTGGCTCAGATCAACCTGGATATTATAGAGAATATATATTCTTTAGGAATAACTCATTAAGAGCACGTTTACTTTCGAATGACCAGCCATGAAACAAAGTGTACCCATGTACGATGGGTATGTGAAAACAACCATGCGCTTTGATAAGCAGACGCCTTTCACCACTTGAGGGAAGCACTTGATCTTAAGAAAAAATGCTAAGTAGAGATGGACATGAACTGCCCATCTGTCAGTCCATAATGGTTCATTCTTCAGATGCACGAGTGTTCCATGGGCACTCTTGCTTCTTTTGCCTGCCTCCTATGGTGAGTGCTCAACTCAAGAGGCAGCATGCTGGGCTTCCCTGCCCAACATCCTCCTCTGAATGGGTACCTGCTGGAGGAGGAAGGGGAGGGGAGCTGGGGCACTCGTGGAACACCTATGATTTTGAAGAATAAGCCCTTATGAACCACTGACAAATATACATCTCACCACTCGCATAGAAATAACTAGTGGGTTTTTTTTTGTTTTGGTTTGGGTTTTTTTGTTTTGTTTTGTTTTGTTTTTTGCTGTTTCCTTTCTCTGGCTTGCCAAGGGAGAAACAAATGATAGTGGTTATAATGATAAACAAACAGACAGAGTCTGTGTTTTGTTTATCCACTCCTGCTTCCAGAAGAGCAGTTGGAAAGAGTGCACCAGCATTGTTGCCTTGTCTATGAGAATCAAGAATTCCGGGTTACCATAGGAAGAGAATATGGTCAGCAATTCATTTTTCTAACCGAGTGGCACTGTGGGCTCCACGCACTCTTGCAGAGTTGGTCAAGGGGCCTTCTGATCGCTCTGCAGTTCTGAACTTCTCTAACCACTCAAAATTATTTGAAGAACACATTTTTAAAACCATAAAAAAAAAGAGCTAGCAAATACAGGTCACATGTTCATGTGAGAACAGAATTATGCAACCATTTTACCACAGTGCACAAACCCAGATAACAAGCCCTCAGGCGCACATGTTTTTCTAGGGATAAGAAACCGAACACACAGTTACAAGATAGGGAATACATGGCCCAGTAATACTACACATGTTGTAGATCACAAACTGAATATGAGCCAATTGTGTGATGAGGCTGCAAAAAAGGCAGATGCTATTTTAAGCTGCATTAAGCCCATGAGGTATTAGTCCGCCTCTATTCAGTAGTGATTAGGCCTCATCTTGAGTACTGTGTCCAGTTCCACACTTTAAAAAGGATGGCCACAAACTGGAACAAGTTGAGAGGAGGGGAACAAGGATGATCAGGGCAGCTGGTAACCACGCCCTATGAGGAAAGACTGAAAGAACTAGGCATATTTAGCCATGAGAAAATAAGACTAAAGGGGAGATATGAATGACACTTTTCAAATATTTGAAAGATTGCCACACAGGGGCAGAATCTGTTCTCAATCATTCCAGAGAGCAAGATACATAGTAATGGCTCAAGTTACAGGATGTCAGGATTTTGGTTGAATATCAAGAAAAATGGCCTAACTGTTAAGAGTAGTATGACAACGGAGCCAATTATCTTGGGAGTTGGAGAGAACTCCAGCACTCTGACAACAAGCTGTCAGATATACTTGAAAAACTTCAACTACGCGCAATTTATTTATCAAAGCTTGTATTTCTAAGAAAGTGTGAATACCCTGCTATTAAGAGAGCAGGCTTCCCGCACTTCCCTTAGAGCACCATTTCAAGGGATACGCTAAATGTAACTCATGTCGAGCAAAGTAAGAAGCAGTATGCTCCTTTGGCCGGGCCATCTGCTGTCTGTCAGCTGTGGTTCCCCTGCTGCCGTTGCCACCTGTTTTGGCACTGATGTATAAGACAGAAAAATTGTAAAAATTTATTTTCTGGGAATTCTAGTCCCTCTCATGGCCCACTGTTGTTTGGAACTTGTCAAATAAGCTTATTCTGAGGCTGTAAAAAACAAATTAATTATATGAATGTGGAGATCAAGGTGCTCTTGATCTGAATTTTCTTTGTAATCATCATAACACATCTGAATGTTGGAACTTTCATTTCTGCCATGTGCATCATTAAGTATCTCCATTTAATGTCACTTGTTCATTTCTAATTAAATAG